ACGATGATTACCTTTTTTTGCAAAAATTACTCTTTTTAGGAGTCATCTGAATTCTTTTCAGATGTCTTGCCTCTACTGAGTCATAATTATTGGTTTGGGTTCTCACACAAGCCAGGGGACTGTTAATTACCTTTACTTGCTGACAGTGGCTCAGCTTCTTCAAGGCACGGGAGAAACAGGCTCTAACTACCAAGGTAGTGCCAACAACCAGGAACAGGTGTTCCCAGGCCCGTGTTGCCATCAGACAATTCCCTTTCTATGCCACCGCACCCAGGTCCAGAAGCACTGGCTTGGAGTGCTGCCTAGATGCTGTAGTGCTCACTGTAAGTTAAAAAACTAAGATCTTGTATATGTGAGGTTTACATCAGCAACTCATTTTTTTACAGCAACTCATGATAACAAAAAAGGAGAGGAAGAAAAACCGGGAGAACTTACAAGTATCTTCAGAAAACAAGCAACTGCCCTCTGACACCTGCCCGAAGAAGTGGGTCGGGGTCGGTTCAAAACGGGCTTAGTCTGTGGTACCGTCTCCACTCCTCAGAATTATTTCGGTGCCCGGCTCCCACTGGAGGATGGGAGGTATCAGTAAAGGGCTGCCTGTTCTTCCCTGAAACCCCAACTTTGCGCTTTCAGGCACCGATTTGATAACGGCAGCAAAAACACTTCAATGGGGCTGAGGCGGGGGGTCCCCACAGACAGGCCGTCGCTCCCTTCACTCCCTGCAACAAGCAGAGGAACGTCGGTGCCTCACCGAACAGCGACTGCACCAGCAAGTCTGAGCGCTCAAAAATGATGAGTCAGTCTCCCCTAAATTAGGGGATTACCGGTGACGTCTGCTAAAAAAAATCAAGAGCCAGAAAGCGCGCGTTATTTTGCTTCGCCGGAGCCGGGGTAGGGCTTTCCAGCCCCGCCTTCCCCAGTCCCGGCGGAACTGGGTGCCTGCAGGCTCCGGGACATGGCAGCGACTGCAGGACCCAAAGGCACTGCTGACCGACAGCGGAGTCCCTCCACACGACCGGCTCGCCCTGGCGCGGAAAACGCGGGCGGCACGGGTCTGTACCAGTGCCCTTTCTCCTCCTCCTCCTCCTCCCCCCTCTCCTCGGCGGGGCTCGCAGGCCTCTACGCCGGGCAGCCGTGTGGGGCGGGGCGCTCCGCCCCCAGGCTCGTCCACAGCGCACCCCCCCCGCCGTGTCCCGCCCCTCTCCGCCCACTGCTGCGCGGGACAAGGCGCGGCGGGACGAGCACTCCCGCTCTCTGGGCCTCCAGCCCGCCCTCCCTCGCGCAAGCGCAGCCGCTCGGGGGCCGCTGGGAAACGTGGTCCCGCCGGGTCCGCAACGGCTCCATTTTCTCCCCGCCACTGCGGAAGCGCGCGTGCGCAGCCCCGCCCCTCCCCGCGGGCGTCACCGCCCCCTCGGCCGCGGCCGCGGTATCCTGGGCAGCGCTGTCACAGCTGCGCGCGCTCGCCCGCCCTCCCGCCCGCGATTGGCCGAGGGGGCCGCGGGGCGGGACGCGAGGGGCGCGGTGATTGGCTGTGGCGGCTGTCAGGGTGATGGCTGCGGGTGCCCGCTGAGCAGGGAGGGAGGGAGCGCTCCCCGTCTCCCCTCCGCGTCCGGCGCCGCGCCGGGCACAGCCCTGCCCGCAGCGCGGGGGGGCATCGCACCAGTCTCAGTGTCCCTCTCTCCTAGGAAAGCCCTTGGAGCCGCTCCTTCCCGGGGCGAGCTGGCAGAAGGCAGGAGAGACTCCTCCAAAGTCCCGGTGCCCTACCGCAAAAGCATCCACCTGCCCCCGCTACCCGCCCCAGCCTCCCCGCGGGCCGCTCTCCTCGCAGCCTCCGCACAACTTCACCAGAGCCTCCGCCTTCCCCGGGGCTTCCTCCTCCTCACGCCCACGCCGGCCCTGAGCCGCCCGCCCCTTGGCTCAGACCGCATCCCCGCCGCCTTCCCTCCCTTCCTCCCCAAACGTGAGTAAGGGGAGGCGGGCCGATGGAAATGCGGAGGTTCCGGGCGGGGGAAGGGAGCGGGTGTGCGCGGTGAGTGTGTGTGTCTGAGTGAGTGTGTGTGTGTACACAGCGCTGGGAGGGCAGCGCATGCGCCCTGCCTGGCGGGGCCGAATGTTTCCCAAGTGTTTGAAACTGGTATTTGGATTTTCCACGTTGGATCTAGCGCGGCGTATGGGAGCGAGGAGGCTGCGTTGATATCGGCGGGGAGCGGCGGCGGCGGCGGCGGCGGTGAGGAGAGAGCGGGGAAGGGGGGAGCGGAGGAGAAGCGGAGCAGAGCGACGCTGGCGCAGGCAGAGGGGCTGCCGCTGCCTCTGACAGACACTTTGCAGAGCACATTTTGTTTCCAGATTGTTTCGGAGGAGCTGGTTTAAGCCCCCCTCCTTTCTCCTCCTCCTCCTCCTCCCCCCCTCCCCTCCCCACACACACACACACACACACAAATCCCTCTGATTGTTCCTACCACCTCCTTCGTGAATTACCCACAACGACAGCCATTCAATCAGCTGCTGCTGGCTGTAGGGGACTAGCGGAGGGTGTGTGTGTATCTCTCCCCCTCTGTTTCACACAAGAGGAGTCAGATGTAGCTTCCCTCGGTTTTTTTGGGGGGAGCTACCGAGAGAGGTGGGCAGGGAGTGAGCCCTTCATCGGGGTTACCGTCTTTGAAGGGAGCAGCACTTGCTCTCACACGGAGAGAGGTGTGGGGAAGGTTTTTTTTTTTCTTTGCCGGATGAAAATGTTGAGTCCTGCAAACGGAGACCAGCTTCACCTAGTGAACTATGTGGAGGATTATCTGGACTCCATCGAGTCTATGCCCTTCGATCTGCAGAGAAATGTCTCCTTGATGAGGGAAATTGACGCCAAATATCAAGGTAAGTGCTTTCTATATGTATGTGTGTGTGTGTTCGTGTGAGCGGTATGGGGCTCGGGGGGGAGGGTGTCTTTGCCTTTCTTTTCTTCAGAGCTGAGCCTCGGCTCCTTTTGCCCCTCTGCACCCCACAGGGATGGTAGTTTTATTTTTGGGAGGTGAAAGGAGGGAGAAAGCCGGGAGGAAAGATCCGAGGAGAGAGAGGGGCTGATCTGCAGCGTTAGCTCTTGTCATGGGGCGGAACAAAAGGTCTCCGGCTTCTCTTATTAAGCAAGGACTCTGCTTTTCTGTGTAAATTGCTGGCCAAGAAGGCGGGGGCAGGGAAGTGGGGTGTGCGGTGCACAAAGGGGGGCCGTCCTTGGCCATGGGGCTGAGGTGGAAGGATTTCGGGGTACGGAAGAAAGTGCTGGGTGGACAGAGAGGGAGAGATTACAGCACAACATTTAGGAATGTACAGTATTCATTATGGCTGTAGTAGGGGAGAGAGGCAGCTAGTGAGGGAGGGAGGGAAGGAGGGAGGGAGAAGAGGAGAGGAGGGTTAGGCGAGAGTGGGGGGCAGGGTGTGCTTTCTTCGCTCCCTCCTCGGTGGGTTTCGTTTCACCCGGTGAAACAGCCCCACTCCGGGAGGCGGGGGGGCCGGGGGGGGCAGGACCGGCGTGTGCGGTGTGAGTGTGTGGGGGGGTACGGTCGCGTTTACGGCTGGGCTGAAGCGCCCCCTCCCCTGCCCGTGCTCGGGGCACGCCGTCCCCGTCCCCACGGGCGGAGGAAAGGAAGGGGAGGCCGGTCTGCAGGACTCGGGGCAGCTTTGTCACTTGCTCGCTGGCGTCCGCTCGGGAAGGGGGGAGGGGAGGGGGGCTTTATTCGGTGCCGCCGGCAGCGCTGACAACCGGGGTGCCGGGCGGGGGGACCCCTTTTCCCTCCCCGCGCCCCCGTGCATGTGGCCTTAGGGGGCGGTGGGCAGCGAGCCCTGCCTGCCGGTCCCCCAGCAGCTCCTCGGGCAGCCCACCAGGGGAGCCCAGCGGAAGGGTCCGAGGGAAACTTCCTCGGGAGCCCACGGGGGCCTGGCGGGGAGGACAGGATAGGATAAGAAAGGGCAGGGCGGGCATCATATCCCCAGCCGCCACGTCCAGCGGGCACCTCCGCGCTGTGCTAGAGAAGCGACTGCCGTGCGCCTTTTATAGACGCCCCTCGTTAGCATATCGCGTTTCATCCCGCCCCCCAGCGGCGGTGATAGGGCGGGGCCCTCCCCACGGGCCGGCCGCGCGCCGCCTCCCCCCGCCTGTTGGCTCCCGCGCTGCCCCGCCTCGCCCCTCGCTCCGCCCTCTCGTGACGTTTCGAGAAGCAACTTTTCGGTGGGGTTGATTTGAATATCTCGGCCGGCCCCGGCTCGCGCGCTCTGATTGGCTGGGGCCGCAACGGGGGGCGGGCCCACCGTGGCCACCCGGGCTGTGACTGACGTGTCCCTGGGAGAGCGGGGGAGGGCCGCTCCTCGCGACTCTCCTCGCTCCTCAGTGGCCGGCGGGGGCCGGCGCGGGCCGGCGCGAGTGAGCTCCGCTCGCCGCGATTGGCCGCCTCTCCGTGTCAATCATTGTTGTTGCTCCCGTTGGTTTCTTTGGGCTCCGGGCGGGGGCGCGTGGCGAAGGGGGCGGGGCCTCCCCGCCTCCCCCCCTCAGGCCCCTCCCGGTTCCGCCGCGGCCCCGGGACCGCTGCCGGTTTCCTGCCGGAGAACAATGGCGGCTCCGTCACCTCCGGGGCGGCCCCGGGACGCCGGGCGGCGCCGCAGAGGGGCGGGCAGGGGGCCGGGCCCTCGCCCGTGTCCCGCTCGCCATCGTCCCGCGGTGTCTCGGCCCCCAGGAGGCTGCGGAGCTGGGCTGGGAATAAAGCTCTGACAGTGGTTTCCCCCTCCCATTGTAATGGCGTTCGTGGTGTCGGGGAGGTGCGTTCGCAGATCGCACGGAACGCAGCGTTCTGCTCCCGCTGCTACAGCAGGGCACGGGAACGCGGTTCCCTGGAATTCCCCTGAACTCAGCCTGCCATGAGCGGGCAGCCCCAGCCCCCCGAGCTGCACCACGCAGCTGCACAGATGTGTCTTTTAGTGCTGCGCTGCTCGAGCAGCGCGTTCTGGCGCCGGTGCTGAGCATCTCTTTGTCCTCGCTCACCCCGTCTCCACACCAAACGTGTCCTTGCCAGGGCCGCCCCGCAGGATCCCGGATCGCCGCATCCCACCGCCGCTCCTGCAGGACAGCGCTGCGCCGGGAGAGGGAGCGGTGCTGTAGTGTCTGTGCCGTACCAGAGATGAAGTTTTCCTAATGCCCAACTCCAAGCATAAATTACGTTATGCTATCGAGAGAGACTGTTGTCCGTGGAAGATACCCACCTATCAAATTCAGATGGGTTAAGCTTACGGCATCAGTCAAGTGCCAGCGCTTGAAGCATTAAACTTGTGCATTGCAGCCACTGAAAATAACTAACACTGCTTTTTTAGTCTTCCTGAATGCTTAATCTGCTGTATTCAGCCACTATTTCAGTGGCATCTTGGGTTTGACTTTTTTTTTTTGCAGGTTTTTGTTGTTGTTTTGTTTTGGAATCTTTTTTTTTGTAGTTAAGTGGGAAAAAAAGCAAATGCTTAAGATGGTTAATAATATATCAAAATACTGGTTTGGTCAGATAGGCTATATTGCAGTACCAGCTGACAGGTCGTGCTTGACCAACGTGTGAAGCACTGGCTGCAGGTCTAAAATCCGAAGTAAAGTTTATATAATATTTCCATGTCTTCACTGGAAATTAGGATCACATGTGTTCAAAAACTCTGCCCAGGCAAGGCAAGACCTAAATCACAGGGTAACTGTCGGTTGCATATGTATCACATTCTCCTATTAAAAATAAACAAATAAAAAGTTTTAAAGAGTTTTGATAATGCTGTTTGCATGTATGAGAAATCCTTGTTTCTGTTAGAGGAATTGAGATCAGATTTTATATCTCAGTATATTTTATTTCTCTAAGGCAGAATGTTCTGACCTGTGAGGAAGGGAAAATTCAGAAAAGGAATGAGATGCAGGAAAAACATTTTACATGGTTTTGAGGACTTAACATGGAAATGCCAAGTGTCCTGTGTGCTTTAGTTGATTTGAGTATCATAACAAAATTCAAAAACATCTGCCTAAAAATAGATTTCCTGAACCATTCTTGAAACTTTAAACACTTTTTGTGCATTGTCGTTTCTTATAGACTGTTGGAACAATCCTTGAGGTGCATTTTAGAATCTAACCTATTTTCAGTGCTGGCATTTTAAATTGGAGGCTCTAGCTGCTCCAGTTGTTGCCTATCGTCTTTAATGTTATCTCCCAGCTTTTTTTATCTCCTTCGCTGCAGTAAATATTTGATGAAGGTAATATTTCTGTGTTTTAAAAAATAAGCAACATGTATCTTACAGAAGGTATAGGGAGGAAATAATCTAAACATCTTGGATATTGTAATCATAATTCTGTAATCCGGGGATTTACATGGCCTCACATTTTCAGCAGAAGTAGCTCAGCAGTATTGGATGAAACTTGCCATAGCTTAGGGTTCAGACCATGTATTTGGTGCTTCTGCATCAGCTGTCAAGTAACCCAGAATCTGGCTTCTCCACTGATCTGTGCTTTCTTTCTCTCCCACTCTCTTTCTCCCACTCTGTCATTCACTGAAAATGTTAATGTTGTTATATAGAAAATATCCATTAATTTCCTCTCTAATTTTGCAGTCAGTTTTGGAACTTTCAATGATATGTGTATTTGTTTCGTTAGTTCTTTTTAATTACTGAAAATTTTAAAGGGAAGAATTATCAACATATAAAAATATATTTAGTCCCTTTTTTTGGCTAAATCAGAATTTGCATTCGATTCCTGTGGGACCAACTAGAACAAAAGTAATCCACTGGAGTCATGAGCCACTTGTCAGATATCAGCTTCGGGGAATCTGTCTTTGATCAGCTTTGCACCTTACAAAAACATGTTGCTGTATGGAAGGAAAAATATGAAAAGGTTTTGTTTAGCTATTCTCCCTGTCAAAAATATTTATAGCTTTTATTTCTCCTTTTCAGAGATTCTGAAGGACCTGGATGACTACTATGAAAAATTTAAACGAGAGACAGATGCTGTGCAGAAGAGAAGAATGTTGCACTGCATACAGAGAGCTTTGATTCGGAGTCAGGAACTGGGGGACGAGAAGATCCAAATCGTCAGTCAGATGGTGGAGCTCGTTGAGAACAGAACGAGGCAAGTGGACAGCCACGTGGAACTGTTTGAGACTTGTCAAGAGACTAATGACACCACTGGAAACAGTGGGAAGGCCAGCCAAGATAAGTCAAAGAATGAGACAATCGCACAGGCTGAGAAGCCCAACAACAAGAGATCGAGGAGGCAAAGGAATAATGAGAATCGAGAAAATGCCTCAAACAATCATGATCATGATGACATCACCTCAGGAACACCAAAGGAGAAGAAAGCAAAAACGTCCAAGAAGAAGAAACGATCCAAGGCTAAAGCAGAACGGGAAGCTTCTCCCCCTGACCTTCCTATTGACCCTAACGAGCCAACATACTGCTTGTGCAACCAAGTCTCCTATGGAGAAATGATAGGATGTGATAATGATGAGTGCCCCATTGAGTGGTTTCACTTTTCGTGCGTGGGACTCAATCATAAACCAAAGGGCAAATGGTACTGCCCCAAATGTAGAGGAGAAAATGAGAAAACTATGGACAAGGCATTGGAGAAGTCTAAAAAAGAAAGGGCATACAATAGGTAGTTTGTAGACTTTTCATAGTGAAGAAAAAAATCACCAAACCAGTGTATTTATTGTCAGTGTCACCTTTGTTGAGGTGAAAGGATTGTAAAATGTATATTTTTAAAGGAGGTTTAAAACTGAAGCATTCCTGTTACAGGGACGGCAATAAGCAATTTTGTTTTTCATTTGGTAAGCTGTAACAAGAATGTGGTCTGTGGACCAATGTATTCCAAAAGTAAAGTTATAAGAATATTCGGGTGTTTCTTAAAAGCTAAATTAATAATTTTCTGTATTCCTTTTTTTTTTTTTAGTGCTTGTAGCACTCTGCCCATTAAAATTTTGATGACAAGTATCTCTGAAATGTAATTTTGTTTTCTTTAATAAAAAATGTTATTTACCTTTTGAGCAAAATTGTTAAATAGTTTAACCACCTGGTTGTATCTGAATAAAACTACAGTGCATTACAAATGTTACTTCTTTTGGTGATAAGCAGTGCAAGAGCGAACAAAAGGAGGGTAAAATTTGGTTCCTGCTACAAAGTGTCAGTATAACAGTTCAATAGCAAATGTTTAAATAGGCTTAGAGGATTATTTTTTAAAACAAAAAGTTAATGGTTAAATTTTACACAACAAATATTTTATATGCTGGCCAGGTACCACAAAGGCCATTTTAAAATGATTGAATATGTTTTATATTTAACCGGAAAGTGGTTTAGTAACGAGACATAACATAAATGAAGCTTTATACTGTCACAGATAGTGGTGTAGCAATCCTTAATTTGTTTAAGTTGTATAAATGTACATTTTAAGTGGAGTTGCACTTACTGTATTATATTTGGAAATGCAGCCAAATGCCATTGTGTAACCAATGTGCATTTTCTGCTGTATGTATGAAAATTGTACAGATGTGATATTAAGAAATAAATGAAACGACTTTGACAGTTTGCTTCTTTAGCAATCATGTTTAATGATCATTCATATAGCTTGAAAAAAAAATTGTCTTTAGTCTTAGCAGCTCCAGCAAGCTGCTGCTGGAAAGCCTGAAACTGTTGTAGTGGTAACCAAATTACAGTTCTGATAATGAATCTTCACAGAACAAGGTTGTAGGAGAGCCAAAATAGCATTTAGCTTTTTATCCAAATCTTCTAATTTTGTGCTTGCAGTTGCTCCCAGACCCAGACATTTATCTGAAAATCTGTATTATAGAGCTGGTCTTGTTCAGTTGTTCTTATGCTTTTTCACTATAGATATAAATTACTCCATTTTTGTTATCTGCTGGAGGATCTTCTGCATTTCAGCATTTTCAAAGTATTGTTGCAGCCATTCCAGGCCAGGCATTTTTATTCTTCATGGTCACCTCATACAAAAACATACTTGCTATGACCAAGGTGCAATGCCAGGTGTCCAGGTCCTCTGCCACTTAGATGGATAGTGAAGCTTGGCCAGGTCTTTTCCTTCACCTCTGTGGCTTGGAGGGCTCGACATTCTGGCTGAGCAGATTTCATCTCCTTGTCCACCTGCAGGCCTTCACTCCAGGTGAGAAGTGAATGAGACCAGCAGTAAGAAGGCCATGGAAGCGGCGGTTGTGAAATCCGATGGGTCAGACAAAAGTCTTGTGTAAGAATACGGGAGGCTGGGGTTGGATTTTTTTGGAACACAGCTTCTGTTTAGAATTGTTTTGTAATTTGAACAGTGAAACCTTGAAATGAGTCCGCTTTTCCCCCCATTGTATTCCACCAGATCTTTCTGTTGGAAGTAGGGGTTTGGATCCAGTTGAAAACAAGACAGCTGGAGGGGCTCAGTGTTTTCTAATGATGTACTGAAAAGCCCCAAAATGCACTGCATCACCTTGCATGGATATTGCCTGCCAGACAGATATGCTCACAGTGACAAATAGAAATCCTGTTTTCCTTCTAAATAGGTGCACTAAGTGCCTGTGCATCTGCATTCGTGTTTCCAGTCGCTACAGATTGTGTCATTACACTGAGCCATCTGTGCTCGGGGCAAGTGACCACTCCAAATCAGTCTCCTGCTCCTGAGGTGGTTCAGGGTTGGTGTGTAATTTTTCTACTCTCTTACCCTTCTATTTTCCTCTTCTGGAAAAGCCATTCTCCCTACACACGCACTGATCTTTCCTGCTCCTCCCTCCCTCCCCTTGCTGTTGTTGTGGCTGATGCCGACGTTTCTGGTCTTTTCTCCCTCAGCTGTTCTGTCGTCCTCCCACCAGCCTACATTGAGAACATCGATACTGAGCAGCAGGACTGTACTAGCGAAACCCCAGTGAAAGTTTGTGTAGGAACTAGTGCAGACACGGTTTCAAACCAAGCCTTTTTCACAAAATGTCTGCATTGGTTCTGCAGGGCATTTTGAGTGTGAAAAGCCAGAAAGAAACACCAAAGGTGCAAAGGACGATGGTAAGAAAGTTAAGCAGAAGATGGATCAGTAGATCCATATTTGTACTGCCCCTAAATGAATATTTTTTCAGCTACTGAAGGCTGGCTGTGGTCTCCCATATTTCAGCCTTTTGCTGAAGACCAGCTGCTGGTCTGCAAAGCAGCTTGGAGTTACGTCCCTTTCCACATTTTTTCCCAGACTTGTGTTACCTTCACAACTCACCCTGTTACAGCCTGCAGCGCTGTTCTGCTCCCTCGATCCTGAGGGCTGACTGGACTGGCATGGAACCATTTGACAGGTCTGGTTTCAGTCGATGGGCACGATTAGCTACTTTAGTTGGATGTGAGGGACTCTGCTGTACCACTAAGCTCTTTGTTGGTGGAAGTGGAGCCATCTCATGTTATACTGACATACTGCCAAGTGGTGTGGACTGTGTAAACTTTGTCCTGGCTTTGGTATCTTGTCTAAAATGCTGCCTTTACAAAATGTCTTGGCAGATCCTCCTTTCTTAGTTATTTGCAGTGAATTTAATGGCCACAAGAAACTGTCAACCTTTGAGCCAATTTTCATTATTTCTGCATGACAGATCAGCTACTTTGCAAGCTTTCCTATATTGCCCAGCAGAGTGATGGTGCTGTAATTTGGAGAGATCATCTGCAGGTTTGAGAAAACATTTCACTCTCTTGGTGACCCTTTCCCACTGAGGCTACTAACAAAAGGCTTGAGTGAGAGGGAGGCTCTTCTAGGAGCTGAGCTAAGGTTTCTGACCTATTTCTCCCAGGCTAGTAAGTGGCTATCAGGTGTGGTAGCATTAATGCAATGTATAAAAGTCATTGGATGTTTGCTGAGGAGGAAGTCACAGCAGCAGGAATCACAAACTTCTTAAACTTCTCAATGAAGTCATTTAGGCAGCTGTAATCACTGCTGTTCTGTGTGGTAGGTGTCACAGGCATGTCCATGTCGTGTTGCTGAACTCCTGAGCTGAAAGTCCTTCCAGCTACTGAAAGGCACCATTTCAACACTCAAATCAAGGGAGCTGACAGCAGACCTCACCCCTAAGTCCTCAGCAGCAGATTTGTTCTGCAGGGGGGCAGCTGGCAGTGCAGAGCTGATGCTGGAGACACAAGCTGGGCAGTAAAAGGCATCAGTGAGGGAGCCCTGTGGGTGCTATGGAGCTCCACTTGCAAAATGTTCCCAGCGGGATGGGGAGAGAGACCTACCATAAGCCTGAACCAGCAGAGCAGAGCATCAGTTTCAACAATTATACCATCTGAAAGCATCCCAATTAAGCAGAACTACTGTCTCCATTGAGCAGCAGCAACCCTGGCCATGCGTATCATTAGGTTTAAATAGGTTTCTTACTAATTATGCACAGTTGCTGATAAACTGTGTCCTAATTTCTTGGAGCATGCAGAATAAGTACAATTGAATTGGACTGCTCCACTGGTTTCATTTTTTGGTAGGGTATTTTTAGTTAATCTTTTAAATTGTAATAACAATGAAAGAGAGAGAGAAAAGTATTGTAAATTGTTTCACAGAATATAATAAAAAATTTTCTGTAATAGAAATGCTTCAAAAGAAGTTTGAATATCTTTGGAGTGCATTCTGTTGCTTTAGTTAGATTTATCATTCTCATGGCCTATTTGCTCTATGTCCATAAAAAAAAACAACACCCTTTTGCAGGAATAGTTCAAAACAGCTAATAATTTCTGAGTAGCAAAAGTAGTGTGAGCAAAAGCAGTGTATGTATCAAAAGAGTAGTGCAAGTAGTGTAATGTCAAAAAATGATCAAGCTAATAATGTTCTGTGCAGTTTCCCACCTTCCCAGGTGTTACTGAAGTCCCAAATACGACAAGCAAGAGGAATGATGCGGTAAGGAAGAGCACTGGAGCAAATGCAGTATGTATAGGAAATGCTGTAAACAGTATTAAGGTTTTCTCCTGAGTTTAGGATTACGTTTCCAAGATTACTTTTCCCAGTAAGCATTTGTTGTTGGTAGTCAAAAAAATCTGAAGTATCCCTGTCCTATCTCACAGCAGGAGAGCTGTGTTAGTGGCCAGGGCAGCTGTGTGGGGGGCTGGTGATGTTCCTCAGTTGCAGGCTTCTTGTTGTCTCTATGTAGAGCCTTATTCCCAGGTTGAACTAATCCTTCAGTTCACTTTATAAACATCTTTGCCAAGGGTGGAAGAAGAAAAAAGGTGGTTGATACCAAATTTTTAAAGACAGATACCAGCATTTAAATTTCCAGCTCATATTTGAAAAACGTAGGGAAACATTGTGGCTTAACATCCCGTATTGGATCTGGTTCGAGATGGAGTTCAGCCCTCACAGTGCTGTGCTTTGCGTTGTTAGCTAGAAAGGAGCTGATAACACACCAGTGTTTTGGCTACTGCTGAGCAGTGCTGGCACAGCATCAGCACTGTCTCTCCAAGGTTCTGCCCCCCATCAGTAGGCTGGGGGCGTGCAAGATCCTGGGAGGGGACACAACCAGGACAGCTGACCCAAACTGACCAAAGGGCTATTCCATAGCATATGACGTCTGCTTGGATATAAAAGATAAGAAAAGGAGGAGGAAGGAGGGGACATTCATTATTTACTGCACTTGCCTTCCAGAGCAAACGCTACCCAAGCTGAAGCCCTGTCCTGGGAAGTGGCCGGACATCACTTGTTGATGGGAAGTAGAGAATAAAGTCCTTGGTGTTCTTCTCTTTGCTTGTGTATGCACAACCTTTCGCTTTTGCTTTGCTAAACTGCCTTATCTCAACCTACAAGTTGCTTTCCATCTTTTTTTCTCTCCCTTGTCCGGCTGAGAAGGGGGGTGATAGAGTGGCTTGGTGGGCACTTGGCATCCAGCCAGGGTCAACCCACCACAATCCTTTTTGGAACCTAGTGTGGGGTGAGACAACAGCATTATATATATGTATTGCATGCTATAGTAATAGTAGTCATTGAGTAGCAATCTACTGTGCAGGGCACAGAGTTTGTCAGCTGCACTGCTTATCGCTTTATTTTGCTGAGCTTGGGAACATGTTAATACAAACAATGGCTCTGTGCTTTTCCCTGGCATTGATGGCCTTGCTGTGCTGGGGGACCTATCTTGTGGAGACAATGAGGGAATACATCTCCCTCTCCCTACCCGGAACTGATGTGGATACTCTTATTATGCAGGCTCCTGCAGTCCTTGTTCATCCTTACATGATCTGTTTAATACTAATTAGTACTGTAAGCATATTATGGTGTTTGTGGAATCTGGTGTCATCCTGGTATAAGAGAAAACAGAATTTGAATGAGGTGATGTCAAAATGTGCCCTGAAGAGACCAGTGCCTGGGTGGCAGGGGGTGTGGAAGGATTTGGGCAGGTTCCTAGGGCGGTTATCACCTCCCATAGCCTGGGACTTTACACCTGAACAGGTATTCAACCCTGGCAAGCTAACGCATCAGCTGATAGAAGGGTGCCTTGCCCAACCCAATGAAAACCAGAGGCTTTTTGCCCTATACTGGGGCCTGGCCTGTGCCTATCGAGCCACAGTTCAGTACTCTCAGAGGA